AAATTTCATGCAAATCGAATGATTTTCAAGGACATAAAATGGAATAAAAAATATATGGGAGCTATATCTAAATCTGAACCAATTGTCACGAAACTTTGCACACATCATTATAGACTTAATTCACTAGGCTTTACCAAAATTCGTGCAAATCGAAAGATATATAGGGAGATTGATGATCCAATTACTTATCTAAATCGTAACCGATCTTCACGAAACTTAGCACACATCATTTTAGACCCAATTCGTTATGTTATTCCAAATTTCGTGCAAATCGAAACATGTATAGGGACTTTGGTGCACAATTTACATTAAATCGGACGAAAATATATATGGGAGCTATATCTAAATCTGAACTGGTTTTCTCGAAATTCGGCACACATCATTTTGGAACTAATTCAGTACTCTATGCCAAATTTCGTGCAAAACGAAAGATATATACGGACTTTGGTCACCCATTTACCTTAAATCGGACGAAAAAATATATGGGAGTTATATCTAAATCTGAACTGATTTTCTTGAATTTCAATAGGGTTCGTCCTTGGGCCAAGTAAGTGACTTGTACCAAATTTCATCCAAATCGGATCATAAATGCGACCTGTACTTTGTTTACAATTTAACATCTACAGTCAGACGGACTGAGGTCCCTCAGTCCGTGAATCGGCTCAGAAAGTGATTCTATGCATATTCTCAAAAAGGAACCATGTGTCTATCTCGTTTCCTTTTGCCTGTTAAAAACATATGCACAAAGACATAATACCCTGTACCACAGTGTGGTGAAGGGTATAATAACGAACGTCAATTATATATGGGATATATCGGTCCATGTTTTGTTGTAGGCCTCATATAATGGTACTTGCAAATTTTCGGTAATTGGGATATTTTGAACTAGCAAATCTCAGTAACAAAAATGATCAGCATTGGTTCGTTTTTCAGGGCAGCCCCCATATAATGGAACCTCGCGTGTTCGGCATTTTGCGAGGCTTAAAACACAACCTAGCTGTGATTTAGTATATTGGGTTCTCATTGGGTAGCAAATCTTCCCGAAATGTTTGTTATTGAAAATGGATTATATCGACCCATGTTTTGGCGTAGCCTCCATATAGGGTACCCCTAAATTTTCTTTAGTTGGTCTACTTTGAGCTCGTTTTTTCAACTGACTTGGCTGTAATTTGGCATTTAGGGCTGTTATATGATAGCAAATCTCAGTAGCAAAAATTACCAACATTGGTTTTATTTTCAGGGTAGTCCCCATATAATGTGGTACCTCGCGTTTTTCGGTATTTTGCAAAGTTTTTCAATTAAAATTGCTGTGATTTAATATTTTGGGTTTTCATTGCGTAGCAAATCTTACCAAAATGTTTGGTATTGAAGATAGGAAATATGTGTCCATGTTTTGGTATGATCCCCATATATGGGTATGCTTAAATTTTCTGTAATTGAGATATTTTGAGCTCGCTTTTTAACTAAATTGGTTGTAATTTAGTATTTTGGTTTCTCGTAGGATATTAAATTTCACAACCAAAAATTATCAGTATTGGCCCACTTTTTAAAGTAGCCTCCATATGAGGCTATATCATAAATTTCGTAAATTTGGGTACGTTTTTCATCCAAATTGGCTATAATTTAGTATTTTATATTCTCATTGAGTAGAAAACATTTTAGGGTAGGGTAAGACCCCATTTTGAGGCACTCCTCAATATTTGAATTTTTTGAAGCTTTTGTGCACTTTTTTTTAACAGAATTGACTGTAATTTGGTTGTTTGGGTTCTCATAGCAAAGAAAATCTTCCTACCAAAAATTATAAGTATTGGTCCACTTTTTAGGGTAGTTCCGACTTAAAGCTACATCTCAAATTTCGGTAATTGGGGGTGTTTGTGCTCTTGATTCAACAGAATTGACTGTAATTTTATATTTTGGATTCTTATTGAGTAGAAAATCTTCCTACCAAAAATTTTCAGTGTTGGTCCACTTTTTAGGGTAGACCCCATATTGCGACACTCCCCAATATTCGATTTTTTAAGGTTTTGTGCACGTTTTTCAACAGAATTAACTGTACTTTGTTTGGGTTCTCATAGCTTAGAAAATCTTTCTACCAAAAATTATCATTAAGGGGACCCTCCTCCCATTCTCGGGGTCAACATTTTTGTTGATATAATTCGAATCTACACTGATTAAAGAATGTCTCTACAAACTTTCAAGTGAAAATCTCAAGAATTCTTGAAGATATAGCCGGTTTATTGTGTCAGCATCAAGTGACGGCTGAAGGGCTTCTTAAACTTTTAACGCGTTTTTCTCTAAACATTTTTTTTGCGAATTGTGGGCACGATATCTCAAAAACTAATAATCCAATCGGTTCCAAATTTTGCAACGTTTCTCTGGGAGTGGGATATATGTGCAAAGTTACAAACCTTAACAAGCATTTGTATTCATTTACCAGCCCATTGAAAATCTTGAAAAATTAAAATCGAGAATGTGGGGGGGTTTAGTATTTTGGTTTCTCGGTACCTTCCAGATTACGGAGTTTTGGTGATTTTTTGTCGTGTTTTTCAACCGAATTGGCCTGTAATTCAGCTTTTTAGGTTCTCATAACGATACGTTCTGAATTTCCGATTTTTGGGAACTTTGGGAACGTTTTTTCAATCGATATGCCTGTAATTTGATATTTTACCAAAAAATTTTAATGTTGGTCCACTCGTCCAAGCGCCATACAACGATACCTCCCAGATTTCGGAATTTGGGTATTTTAGGCGCGAGTTTTCAAAAACCTTTCTACCAAAAAATTTTAATATTGGTTTACCAGTTGTTATTTGGTATTTAAAATTTCGAGGCTACAGCCTTTTAATTCTCTTTGGATTTTGGTTGAAAAATATTTTTCTCTGGAAATATATTTTTTTTAATTCCTTTTGTTTTTCATATTTAGCAATTTTACTTCCTTGTTTTTCGTTTTTCAATACTCTTTTATTCCTACAAATCTACTTACTCTTCTCCACGTCTTCAAGATTCTGCTTTCAATGGTTTTATATTTTTAACAGCTGTCACCCCTCACCTTTTGTGTATTGTTGTGAGGGTTTCTCCCAACTTAATTTGTGTCATATGCCGGCACAGCAGCAGCAGTTTTCAATTTTTGCTTCACATATAATATTTTTATATATACAAGAACTACAACAACAATTTTCCACATCTTGCTGCTGTTACTGTGAAATTTGCTGCTGATGCGAAAAAAAGAAGCGATCGCTAGGTGCAAAGGAATCCGAAATCCTTTAAGGACACACACAACATGCCTGTGCATAGAAAACACAGCTGGGGTTTTCTGCTGCTGTTGTTGTTGTAGGTTTTTTTTATTTACCCCTAATGCGAGTTGTGCACATTTTCTGTTTATTACAAATTCTTTGCTTGAATCTTATGTACTCTGTGTTGTGTCCTTGTACCTAAGCCATTGTCCTTTGATGTAATTGTTTTGTTGTTGTTTTTTTCGGTTTTCCTTATTTCTTATTTCTTGTTATCCTTTAAGGGATCTTTGTTTTAGTGTGCTACTTCAGAGATCTTCGTTTTAGTGGTACCTTAGCCACTGCAATTTCGTACAGCAAGTCAGTTATCACTCGTCCTTGTTAAAGAAAGGATCTTCACTGGGAAAAAATATAAACGAAACGAAGAAAAAGTTATTTGTTATATTGTTTTAGTTAAATTAAAAAAATAAAAATAAGTGAAATAATTTTTTTCTGGTTGAAATCCTGTTTAAAAGAAAATAAACAAACACATACACGCACACACACACCTCTACAAAAAGACGCCGAATAGAAAAACAAAGTTCTACAACTAAAAAAAAAGTTCTACGAATAAAAAAATAATTGGGAATCGAAAAATATAAAAACAAAGAAAATAAAGTAAGAATTTCCCTCAATATTTTCTCCAAATTTGGATAATAAAAAAAAGAAAATTAAAAAAATAAATGAAAAACCTGGTGCCCTCCAAAATTCCAAAATTTGTGATTTTAGGGCAACCTTTTTTCAACCGATTTGGCTGTAATTTGGTATTTTGGATTCTCATTGAGTAACAAATCCTCCTACCAAAATTTATTAATATTGGTCCACTATTTACGGTAGTCCCCTCATAAGGTACCTCAGAAATTTCGAAAATTTGATCACTTTTTTCAACCGTTTTGGCTGTAATTTGGTATTTTGCATTCTATTTGGGTAACAAATCATCCTACCAAAAATTATTAATATTGGTCCACTTTTAAGAGTAGCCCCCATATAAGGGTACCTCACAAATTTCGTAATTTTGGGGATTTTGAGCAAGTTTTTTATTCAAATTGGCTGTAATTTGTTATTTTGGATTCTCATTGGGTTGAAAATCTTTCTACCAAAAATTTTTAATATTGGTTCACTTTTCAGGGTAGTCGCCATACAACGATACCTTCCGAATTTCCGATTTTTGGGATTTTGGGAACGTTTTTTCAACCGATTCGGCTGTAATTTAATATTTTGGTTTCTCCTAGGGTAACAAATCCTCCAACCAAAAATTATTAATATTGGTCCACTTTTTAGGGTAGTCTCCATATAACGGTACTTCCCAAATTTTTGAATTTTGTGGATTTTGGGTGTGTTTTTTCAACCGATTTGTCTATAACTTGATATTATGGGTCCTCATTTGGTAATAAATCTCCCTACCAAAAATTATTAATATTGGTCCATTTTTTTAGGGTAGCCCCCATATATAGGGTACCTCCCAAATTTCGGAATTTTTGGAGAGATTGACTTATATTAAGTTGTAGCACGCCTCATATGACGTAAAACTAAATGTTCTGTCGATTTTCTTTTTTTTTTTTTTTTTTTTTTTGTTTTGAAAATGTTGTTTTTTTTTAATTTTGAGTCTTAAATTTTGTAAAAAAAATATTTTTTAATTTAAAAAAATTCTTCATATATTTTAACTCTCCCTCACACTCTCTCTCTCTCTCTTTCCAGCATTATTTTTGTTTTGTTTTTGTAATACGAATAAATTTTGAGAAACAAACAAATAAAAAATGGCACAACCCGAACAAGATATTCCCACATTCAAATGCGTCTTGGTTGGTGATGGTGGTACCGGCAAGACAACCTTCGTCAAACGTCACATGACCGGCGAGTTTGAAAAGAAATATGTTGCCACTTTGGGTGTCGAGGTGCATCCATTGATTTTCCATACAAATCGTGGCGCCATTCGTTTCAATGTCTGGGATACAGCCGGTCAGGAGAAATTCGGTGGCTTGCGTGATGGCTATTATATTCAGGGACAGTGTGCTGTAATTATGTTCGATGTGACATCGCGTGTCACCTACAAGAATGTACCAAATTGGCACAGAGATTTGGTACGTGTCTGCGAGAACATACCCATTGTATTGTGCGGCAACAAGGTCGACATCAAGGATCGTAAGGTCAAGGCCAAGAGTATTGTGTTCCACAGAAAGAAGAATTTGCAGGTGAGTGGAAGGATTTTTGTTTTTCATATTATGATTTATATTTAATTGGGGTTTTTGTTTTCGGTTTTCAGTACTACGACATCTCAGCCAAATCAAATTACAACTTTGAAAAGCCCTTCTTGTGGTTGGCCCGCAAATTGGTTGGTGATCCCAATTTGGAATTCGTTGCCATGCCCGCTCTGTTGCCTCCCGAAGTCAAAATGGACAAGGACTGGCAGTTACAAATCGAAAGAGATTTGCAAGAGGCCCAGGAAACAGCTTTGCCCGACGAGGATGAAGACTTGTAAAGAAGCATCAGTAGTAGTACACAAACACACCCACACAACACACACTTTCACACATACAAACCTCCTTCTCCTTTTTTGTAAAACACACTCTCTTTCCTGCTGCTCTTTAAAAAAAATATATTATTATTCTGTTGCCTGTGGTATTGGTGCCAATACTACAGCAAATATTAATACCATTTACTTTTTTTATATTTTATTTTGAAAATAATAAAAAAATAATTGTTCAACTCCATTCCCACTTAAAAATCCATTAAAATACTCTACTTTTCAAAAGGAGTTTAAAATAGAAAACTATCTTAATCTACAAACAAAAAGCAGTGGCGCCCAATCAACCAACCAACAACAATCGGATATTGAGCATAATTTAATTTTACCTTTAATTGTAATTAACAACAAACAAACAAAAAATACCACACATTGTAGGCATCTAAGTACTCTATCTTAAATAATAAAAAAATATGAAAAAACAACAACAGCAAAGAAGTACAGCTTATTAAAAGAAGAAGAAGTAAACTAATAAAAAATACAATTAAAAAAATATAAACATAAATTAACACAATTTTCCTTTACAAAAAAACTTGTGAGATTGGAGAGCAGGAGCTTGAGTGGATAAGGGGAGGGGTGGAACACTCAGTAAATTGAATTCCTTGCAAAAAAAAAATTGTATTACCATTTCCATTTCTTGGACTACTGCTGCTGCTCTTTTTCTGCCCTCCCCTCATTTTTTTATTTTTGCTTAGTTTGTAAAATTCCTTTTTATACATACTTTATAAATACATATTTTTTGTAAGTTATTTTTTTTCAACTTTATTTTCTTCTGTTAGTATTTCTTCTATAATATGAAAATAATGAATTTGTATTCTTGTGAATTGGAAAAAAAAGAAATACAAAAAAAAAGAACTATGGAACAAAATTTAAAAATCAACTTCAATTGAAATATAAACATGGTTAGAGGGAGGAAGAGAAGGGGAATCTGTGGTATTATGTCTTTGTGCATATGTTTGTAACAGGAAAAGGAAACGAGATAGACACATAGTTCCTTTTGAGAATATGCGTAGAATCTCTTTCTGAGTCGATTTATGCATGTCCGTCTGTTATATTAGATTGTAAACAAAGTACAGGTCGCACTTATGATCCGATTTGGATGAAATTTGGCACATGTCACTTATTTGGCCCAAGGACGAAGCCTATTGAAATTCAAGAAGATCGGTTCAGGTTTAAGATATAGCTCCCATATATAGTATAGTCCGATTTAAGGTAAATGAGGCACAAAAGTCCCTATATATCTTTCGATTTGTACGAAATTTAGCATGGAGTACTGAATTATATCCAGAATGATGTGTGTTAAGTTTCGTAAAAATCAGGTTCAGTTTTAGATATAGCTCCCATATATATTTTCGTCCGATTTAAGGTAAGTAGTGCACCAAAGTCCCTATATATCATTCGATTTGCACGAAATTTGGCATAGCGTAATGAATTAGGTCAAGAATGATGTGTGTTAAGTTTCCTGAAAATCGGTTCAGATTTAGATAAATCTCTTATAATTTTTTTCTTCCGATTTTATGTAAATTGTGCACTAAAAACCGAAAGTTTGTCGATTGCCATATACTTTTGTACAATGAACTGTAGTTATTATAAATTAATTTCTGGCAAGTTTCGTTGAAATCGGTTCAGATTTAGATATAGGTACACCAAACTGTTCATGTTTATCAGATATTCATCCCAATAACTCCGATTGATATTTTCTTTAAATTGATTTACATAATTTTGTCCCATTGTAAGGAGCAACTCTATATCTGAACAAATGAAAAATTTAGTATAGGTTGCAGAATGACATGTTAATGGATCCATTTTCATTTTACTGGTCCTTCAAAAATGCGACGTCTGTTAGGATGCATCTGTTGAATATACCCAAAGTGGTGAAGGGTATCATATAGTCGGCCCCGTCTGACTTTACTACTTTTCTAGCTGGTTTTAAATTAAATATGCGGCAGCACACTATGATGCTCTTTCTAATATCATGTTGACCAACATTTTTTCTAATCCCTCTCCAAAAAACAATGCAATTTTTTTATTAAAGAAAACACAAACATCTTTATCAAATAAAAAATAAGTACCACAAATGAGATAAATCCTCCTCATCCTCCTTATGCATCTTAGATATGATAAGAGATTAGAGAAAAGTGAGTTATGGTAGACGACTTTTAATATCAGTATGGGGGAGTGGTGACTTCTTATATAGATAATGCACTGACATGTAAAAAAAAAATTAATATTTTTTCCAGCATATTAAAAAATTATTTGAAAAAAAAAATATCCTACATTTATTCGAAAAAGTTAACAATCACAAAATTTCGAAATTTTTTTGTGTAGTGCATTTCTTCGCCACCACTGATTTTTATACCCTCCACCATAGTATGGAGGGTATATTAGTTTTGTTTTTCCGTTTGTAACGCATCGAAATAATCATTTCCGACCCTATAAAGTATATATATTCTTGATCAGCGTAAAATTCTATGACGATTTAGCCATGTCCGTCTGTCCGTCTGTCTGTCTGTTGTAATCACTCTAGCGTCTAAACGAATTGAGATAGATCGCCAAAATTTTGCATAGAGTCGTCTTTTGTCTGCAGGCAGGTCAAGTTCGAAGATGGGCTATATCGGTCCACGTTTAGGCATAGCTCCCATATAAGGGTACCCCCCATATTTTCGGTATTTTGGGGTTCTTGAGCGCGTTTTTCAACCGAATTCGCTGAAATTTGGTACATTGGGTTCTTATTGGGTACTCAATGTCTCCACAAAAAATTATAAATATAGGTCCACTTTTTCTGGTAGCCCCCATATAACGTTACCTGCTAATTTTCAGTATTTTGGGGGTTTTTAACGTATTTTTCCGCCGAATTAGCTGTAATTTAGTATTTTGCGTTCTTAATAGGTACCAAATCTCTCCACCAAAAATTATGAATATAGGTCCATTTTTTCGGATAGCCCCCATATAAGGGTACCCCCCAAATGTCGGTATTTTGGGGTTCTTGAGCGCGTTTTTCAACCGATTTCGCTGAAATTTGGTACATTGGATTCTTATTGGGTACTCAATGTCTCCACAAAAAATTTTAAATATAGGTCCACTTTTTCTGGTAGCCCCCATATAACGGTACCTCCTAATTTTCAGTATTTTGGGGGTTTTTAACGTATTTTTCCGTCGAATTAGCTGTAATTTAGTATTTTGCGTTCTTAATAGGTACCAAATCTCTCCACCAAAAATTATGAATATAGGTCCATTTTTTCTGATAGCCCCCATATAAGGGTACCCCCCAAATGTCGGTATATTAGGGTTCTTGAGCGCGTTTTTCAACCGATTTCGCTGAAATTTGGTACATTTGGTTCCTATTGGGTGCCAAATTTGGTACATTGGGTTCTTATTGGGTACTCAATGTCTCCACAAAAAATTTTAAATATAGGTCCACTTTTTCTGGTAGCCCCCATATAACGGTACCTCCTAATTTTCAGTATTTTGGGGGTTTTTAACGTATTTTTCCGTCGAATTAGCTGTAATTTAGTATTTTGCGTTCTTAATAGGTACCAAATCTCTCCACCAAAAATTATGAATATAGGTCCATTTTTTCTGATAGCCCCCATATAAGGGTACCCCCCAAATGTCGGTATATTAGGGTTCTTGAGCGCGTTTTTCAACCGATTTCGCTGAAATTTGGTACATTTGGTTCCTATTGGGTGCCAAATATCTCCACCAAAAATTATAAATATAGGCCCAATTTTTCTGGTAGCCCCCATATAAGGGTACCCCCAATTTTCGCTATTTTGAGGTTCTTGAGCACGTTTTTCAACCGAATTCGCTGAAATTTTATATTTTGTAGTCGAATATGGTAGTAAATTTCTCTACAAAAAAATTTTAATATGCACCCCCTTTTTGGGGTAGTCCCCATATAACCCCCTTTTTATACCCTTCACCACACTGTGGTACAGGGTATTATGTCTTTGTGCATATGTTTGTAACAGGCAAAAGGAAACGAGATAGACACATGGTTCCTTTTGAGAATATGCATAGAATCACTTTCTAAGTTGATTTATGCATGTCCGTCCGTCCGTCCGTCTGTCTGTCTGTCCATGTTAAATTGTAAACAAAGTACAGGTCGCATTTATGATCCGAATTGGATCAAATTTGGCATAGGTCACTTATTCGGCCCAAGGACGAACCCTATTGAAATTGGGAAAAATCGGTTCAGATTTAGATATAGCTCCCATATATATATTTAACCGATTTAATGTAAACGTTCCCTATATATCTTTCGATTTGCACGAAATTTGGTACAGCCTAATCATTTAGGTCTAGAATGATGTCTGCCAAGTTTCGTGAAAATTGATTTTAAGTAATTGAAATTGATTTTAAGTAATTGACGCACCAAGGAACCAATAGGAACAAAACTTTCTGAAATTAGTATAACCTTATCTGTGACAAGTTCGCTTGAAATCGCTTTATATTTGGATAGAGCTTCCATATATATTTTCGCCCGATTTCATGTAAATTGTGCAGCAAACTCCTCATGTTAGTCAGATTGACATCAAATTTTGCACAACGTACAAATTTGAGCATAGAATTACGTAGTTGCGTTTTCAAGAAGTACAGACATAGCCCAACGGATGACCTATTTATATTTGTTTGAAGTCGATTTACATACTTTATGGATAGATCTAGGTAGATTCACATTTAGATAAATATCACATATTTTATTTCATCCAATTTCATGTTAATAGTCCTGTTTAATACACCCATAGTGGTGAAGGGTATCATATAGTCGGCCCCGTCCGACTTTACTACTTTCCTTACTGGTTTATATTAAAATAGTTATGCAATTTGTTCCGCGTTTTGGGTTTGGTTCTAAGACTCTGTTGTAACTATATCACCTGTGGAGGATATCGGGATAAAAAACTAGAACGTAAGGTTCGATAATGAACTATATATGAACTATAACCCGTATTTAAACCT